CAGCAGTGCCTGCTGCCCTCTCAGCTGACAATGAGGGAGCTGGATGGCTGCAGCAGTGATGGGGGCGTGAGGAGGGGCTGTGGCTCAGTGGTTGAGTATCTGCTTGGCATGCAGAAGATCCCAGGTTCAATCCCCAACATCTCAAGTTGAAAGGACCAGGTGATGTGAAAGACCTCAGCCTGAGACCCTGGAGAGCTGCTGCCAGTCAGAGTACACAACACTGACCTTGATGGGCCAATGGTCTGATTCAGTATAAGGCAGCTTCATGTGTTAGGTGGGAGATGCACCAGCCTGGCAGTGGCAGCAACGGGGCGATGGATTCCCCCCTCCCCATGAGATGCGCAGGTCCCCAACTGTAACTATATATTTTCCTCAGCATAATAAAAAGTAATTTGGAGGGAATTTTCAGAATTGTAAAAAAAAGGGGGGGGGGAAATCCAACCCCAAAAGAACTACATGTAAAATATAGTTCTATCTTGAGCCTCTCTTCACTTACCTTCACTAGGTCTATTCCTGCTTGCAGGCCTGCAGAACGCTGAAAATTCCCTGTAAGTCGCAAGTACTGGTACCTGAGGAGAAATACAAGAGCTTTATTTGTTTTTACTCACCTTCTCTTGCTCAAAGCTTCTCATTCTGGAAGTTATTTTTCGCCACCACTGGAACCATTTGGCACAACCAAGCATGAAACACAATCAAAGCAGCTGAAACCCAGAATGATCCTGTACTCTGAGGGCTGGATTCTGTTCTAGTGCTGGTGGTAACTTCTTGATTGTAGGGAGTCTAATCCTAAACAGAACTACATCCTTCTAAGCCCACTGACTTCAGTGTACTTAGAAGGGTGCACTTTTGTTTAGGATGGGGGGAGGCCAGTTTCAGCCAATTGAGAGAGAGTCAACTCTACCCAACTCTACCCTGGCCTGCTACATCCCTGGACTTCTGGTTGCACCATCAATTTACACAGGGAAGGGCCTGTATAAATGTTTCTGTTGGTCTTTTGGGGTTTCTGGCACTGTGTCATGCTTGCACTGCCACAGTGCCACTTGTTCTGGAGTGTGCCACTTGTTCTCATGGCAAACAAGCACCTCCCAAGACAGTTCACTTTCCCTGAGATTCTCTAGGAGAGTCTGGCTGCTGGGTGCTGCCTGCTTGCCTGCCTTAAGTGCTGCTGGCTGAGTTTCTTCATTGGAAACAATGGAGGTAATGGGGGTAACCTGTTTGGGTGCCCATAGAATTTAGCCCACTGGTCCAATTGCTTTGGGACATGGGAGTTAATGTGGGGAGAGGCTCCCGAAGCTACCCTGAAAATCTGGAGCCTCTCCCCCAAACCCCTTCCCCCCCAGAGCCACTAACAGCACCATGGAAAAAAGTAACTATTTTTCCCACCATAGAGAAAAATGGAGGGGATGGGGGCAACCTATTTGGGGGCCCGTAGAATTGGACTCCCTTGTCCAATGTTCTTGAAACTTGGTGGGTATCTTGGGGAGAGGCTCCAGCAGCTACCCTGTGAGGTTGGAGCCTCTCCCTCAAGCCCTCTCCCCTCCAGCCCCCAGAATATACCCTATGTTTTCGCCATTGACTTCAATGGCCCATAGGATATAATGGGGCTGAAATTGACATTCAGCTGGCAGAATCAGCTGGTACTGACGAAACTGACATGCGGGAGTCTTACTGCCAGCCGAAATTGATTCTGCCTGATTTGGCCGAATCTGAATCGGCCAATTTTTTATTTTTTTTTGCACACCCCTAGTCAGCCCTGGCTAGTATTTGGATGGGAGACCACCAAGAAAAACCAGGAGTGCATGTAAGAATGTATCTTACCTTGAAAACCCTACAGGGTCACCATAAGTCAACCGCGACTTGATGGCAAGAGTCATTAATTAAATAAATAAAAATGCCTCTGCCCATGTAAACAGCTAACAGTTAAACTCCAGAAGTGAGAAGGAGGGGGGAAAGAAGCAGATGACCTGTAGCCTTCTCGCAATTGCTTCATCAATAAGGAACGTTATGTCTGCTCCGGTCCTTTATATGCTCTGTATGCAGCGGCCTGTGTCCCTCTTCGTTGCAGGAAACACATCCTCACCTGCGCAAGGTGGACTTTTTCAGGGCCTTTTCGACATCCATGTCGTCACTATCATAGTCTGTGATGATGACGTTGAAGTGTGGGTCCTTTGTCAACCTGAGCAGCTCTTCCATGTCCTTAATGAACTGCAGTACCCAGCGGGCCTGGTTTTTCACTGTTTGAAAACAAGGGGAAGCAAGGGGAAGAAGAAGAATCAGAACAAAGTTGTTTGGTACTTGATGGACAGGATATATACCACTTCCACTTCCTGCACAAGTTTGGGGAAGAGTTACAGCTCTGTGGCAGAGGATGTCCTGGGTGCAATCCCATCTTTCTTCAGTGCTGTGCTAGATGGACAGTCACTGAGGTTCAGTATAAGGTAGCTTATACCAGTTTGGTGTGGTGGTTAAGTGCGCGGACTCTAATATGGGAGAACCGGTTTTGATTCCCCACTCCTCCACTTGCACCTGGCTGGATGACCTTGGGCAAGCCATAGTTCTGATAAGAGCTGTTCTTGAAAAAGAGCAGTTTCTGTGCTCTCTCAGCCCCACCTACCTCACAGGGTGTCTGTTGTGGGGAGGGGAAGGGAAGGGAAAGGAGTTTGTAAGCCACTCTGAGACACCTTTGGGTAGTGAATGGCGGGGTATAAATCCAATCTCCTCTTCTTCTTCTACTATATTCTAATATTTTGTAAAAACTTAAATACCCTTGTTTGTATCATATTATATCCCAAAATGCTACAGGATGTCCAGTGCAAATACAACTATGCAACACCACAGTTGCAGAGAAAAATATGCTAATAGGAGTATGAAGGAAAGCAGAGACATTCTTCAAGGCTCTACTCTGGCTTTTAATTGGCCAGTGCGCTGTACTCAAATCAAAGCAAAATCTTTACTGGGCCACCTGGACTATTTCAGAAACACACACTGGTTCGTTAGATGAGTCTATGACACGTACAAAGGTTTATGTGTTGTGAAAAACATACAAACAGTCTACGTCTGTCCAAATTTGGCACAAGAAAGCTGTATTCTGCTGTATAAATCAAGCACATTGGAGTGATTTTTTTAGTTTGCATAATTTATTCTTCTTTTTTCATATTTTTATTTTGTTTTTGCTATTTATGGGGAGAGCAATGGTTTTAAAAGGGGTCTGCAGCTCCACTCTCTGACTATTGGATGTGTGTTTTCAGTAGGGGTGTGCATTCAGTTTATCCAAGCCGGAAAAATATCAAAAAAAATACCTTCCTGGTATTTTTCGGGTATTTTAAAGCTGAATGCAGATCAGAGATCTGTATTTGGCTATCGGTGTAGCTGACACCCCCCCCAAATGCCATTTTTTCCGGCTTTTATTCAGATGTATTGAGCCCTCCCAAAAAGCCATTTTTCCGGCTTTTATTCAGATGTATTGAGCTACAGAGATCGTGGTCTCTTAAATGCCTTCTCCTCCAAGCCTCACCATGGCGGTGGCATGACTCAGCTAGTGAACTCAGAAGGCATATGCCCCCTCCGCATTTGGAGAAAGCAGTTGGCATTTAAAAAGACTGTGGTCTCTTTAAATGCCCATTGCCTTCTCCTCCAAACCCCACCATGGCAGCAGCATGACTCAGCATTGAGCTATACCGAGAAGGCTTTTAAAGAGATTGTGGTGTCTTAAATGCCTTCTCCTCCAAGCCTCACCATGGCGGCGCCATGACTCAGCTAGAGAACTCAGAAGAACTGAAGCACAGTGTAAGTGTTAACATGACACAATTAAAGGATGCAAAATTATACAATAGGATCCAACCCACAACAAACTGTGCTAAATCCTATAACTAGAATACTATTATATACAGTTCTTTTGTGTTCCTGTGGAATACACATGGCTGGAAGAATGGCGCAGGCTTTTGGAGTTAAGCCATAGACTCTAATATCACAATGGTTCAGTTCTAGTTCAGAAGAAAGGAAGCGCACTACAAAACAAAACCTCAAATTGATGCTCCACAAGGGAACCTATGATGTGTCAAACACATTTAGAAAGCAATTTTTCCCAGGGCAAAAGGATCGTGATTTAGCTTATTCGGACAGTAATAAATAAAAACTCTTTCATCCCTGAAGAAGATGATTTCAAAACACATTGGAAATGGGAATACCATAGGCTGCAACACATTTCCTTTTCTGTGCACCAGTTTGAGGTTTTGCCTCGCCTCTTTTTTAATTTGTCATTTTAGTGTCACAAGTTTGATATTTTGTCCTAGTGACATTTGGGAGATGTGACAGAGAATAGCAAGCATCTGGTTTCTGTAATTTGAAAGGACAAGAAAGCCTTAAAACAGATGTTGAGGGCTAACCAGTATGAGTTTGTATGAATCTGACTAAGATTCCTAGGTGTCAAACAAGACTTCTTTGAAGTAAAATGAATCACCTAAGCTCACCCAAGCTGTGGTACTGGCCTTTCAACTCCACATAATCCCATCAGAACAAATCTAGTGGTTATGTCCATAGACATATAGGTGGCAAAGGGCAAAACACCATTATTCTCCTGCTGTTTATTTTTTTACACGATCTGAAACGCTCAGTCCACCACAGTTACTGTTGTCTCCCTTACCTGGCACAATGAAGTGGACCATGGCACGGTGGTTCCAGGAAAAGCCCAATGGCCAGCAAAGGACTGGTTCTTCTGGGATGGCCATCAGATGCCGCCGGCGTCCCCACGCCAAGTCCTTCATAATCCTCTCCTCCTCCACACTGCTGATCCCTTGCCATTCCCGCGCAAAGACGTATTCCGAGAAACGGACAAGGTGCCCACCCCGCTCCAGCAACTCCAGCTCCAGAAGGTAGCGGCTGCCCCGCAGGTGGTCTTGACGTTTCTCTACATTCACAATGCGCCGCAGTTGGAATCGCCTGCAATGGATAGCATCGTGTTTGAGCATCAGGACTTCAGTTGGCATCTAATCTAGTGCCGGATCCATCGGCCTGAGGCACATTAACCCTGCAAGATTTCTGCTCTGCCTTATGCCTGATTTCCTTTCTGCCATGACTAAAAACATGGTACAATGGGAACAGAGGAACGTGCAATAAACGCGTCCGCCTGATACGCATTTCCTGCACTGTGCATGGAGTTAGACTAGATGACCCTTTGGGGGAGTCCCTTCCAGCTCTATGTTTCTATGCATAATTCTTGCATAAACAAGAACATGATGTCATGCCACCAATCCTAGAACGGCACTGACAAAGCATATGCGGCTTTTGGATGCGGACTCATGAGGATCTTTGAACTGAATCTCCTCATCCTGCAGAACAATTTTTTTTGTCACTGCAAGCCAGAAGGTTCAGTGAGATGCTTCTAACACCTGCACAGTAACAATATCCTTCCCCAAAAGCTTACTCATCAGCACTTTTAGAAAAATGCTACCAGAACTACTGGCCTAGTATATCTGTGATGTGCTGAAGGCGGAAGGAGAATCCACAGTTCTTTGTGAAGCTCCTGAGGAGGCAGGAGGGGCACTGGGCAAAGAAATCAATATCTGCTGATTGTCTGTGGCTGGTGTTGCAATCCACAAGGAGGAGCTGACCCCTCAGCAGGGTGCTCAAGCCAAAAAAAGAAAGTGCCGGGCCTATTCTCAGGATAAACCTACTTTGTTTTTATACTACCTTAGCTGTCGGTGAGGGAGCAGAGAACCTGTTCAGACTTGATACTCCTCCCTTTATAATGACAATCCCCAAGAGGTAAGAGAATGAATTTCAATCTAGGTTTATAATCTGTAGTGCAGATGGTTACTTCTCCCCCCCCCTGCTGTGCCATGCCTAGAACAGCCTTTTGTAGCACCCTCATGTCTACCGTCCCCCTAGACCCACCAAGTACTGGCAAGGTCAACTCCCTGAGCAGTTGGAGAGTTCGTAAATTATACCAATGTCCTGGATTAAAATGTCTGTTCTTCCTTTCTTCATCCAGCAGGGGTGGTAGGGGCATGGAACGAGGAATGAGTCTGGCTCATGAGAACCGGTGGGGTGTACTGGTTAAGAGGGGCTGGCCTAGTATCTGGAAAACGCAGGCCTGAGACCCCACTTGTGCCATGGAAGCTTGGTGGGTGACCTCGGGCCGGCCATGCTCAATCAGCCTAACCTACTTTACAGGGTTGTTGTGAGGATAAAGTGGAGGAGAGGAGAATGATGTAAACTGCTTTGGGTCCCCACCGGGGAGAAAGGCAGGATATATAAGAATTAATTAAATAAATAAAAGCTCCGGGTTCAAGCCCTGTAGCACCCAGTCTATGGCCTAGCGGCTCCAGTTTCAGTGACTACCATACCGAACTGCTGTGCCATCTGTCTTGTTTACAGTTTTGTTTTTAATCTGTTTTAACTATTTATTGTGGAAGGTTTATTATGAAATGTTCTAATTCTTGTTGTGAAATGTTTTAACTCCTGTTGTCATCTGCTCTGAGCCCGCTTGCAGGGAGGATGAAATACAAGCAGAAATGAATAAATAAATAATAATAAATAAAATAATAAACAGTGGAAAAGCCAAAAATGCAGGGTCAGGAAAGAGCTGGGGTGGGGGTGGGGGCTCATAGACCATGCTCCTGGCTCACCACATCTACAGAAAAATGTCCCTAAGTCTTCTTTGTCAGGATAACGTTTGGTAAGTAACATTTCTAACCATTTATCTAGACCTAGAGGATCCAGAGTACAATCCCATCATGTGTTTGTGCTACAGTTTGTATTACGAGCAAAGATCAGAGAGTTCCGTTCATATTATGAGTAAAGATCCGAGAGTCCACGAGATACCTTTTGCCTTACCCTTTGTGCCTCTGGTTGAGTTTCTTCAGGAATACACGAGTGATCTCCAGGGCTTCCTTCTCCTTCAGCAGCAGGTTCCCTGAAGTGTTGCACTTCAGATCAATCCAGTCTGTCCTCAGCACTTGGAAGTCCAGGTTACTTGCCCTGAAAGTCTGCTCCCAGTTCACTGGTTGGTCGAATACAGGAATGTAGTCAAATCCTTCTTCTTCTGCATCAACTTCTCCTTCCCTGTCCTCTACCACCAGCTCCTCTTCCTCCTCCCCTTCTTGAACTGCTGGCTGAACAGAATCAACCCCAACAGGCTTCTGGAAATCCAGCTCGATCCTTCCCAAGACCACATTGGCAGCATCTGCCGCCTTGTGCTGGGCTATATACGAATCCACTTGATTAAGCCACTGGTCCTCATGAACTGGCCGTTCCAGAAGAGTTGTCTCTACAGCACCTTTGACGGACACCTGGGATTGTGTCCTTGTTTTTGTGGTATCCACTGACAGGTCCTCGTTACTGTTTGTGTTAAGACCTAATTGAGCAGGACGGGCTTTTCTTGGCATCCTTCTGGTTGAGTCCCTGGGCCTGATGGGATTTTGCTCCCTGGCCATTTTGGACCTTTTGTGAGACTGCAGCTCCTCATCTCCCACATTCCTCTTGCTCACTGATAACTCATGGACACTCCTGTCCTGAGCGGAGTTTCTGGAACTTTCTATGACTCTACCTTTCAAACGTGTCTTCCTCCTCAGTGAATTTTTTTCTGGATCGTTTTTATTGTTGCTCTGACCGATTGAAGTCATTCTCAGACTTTTAGCTTCTTTGCTTCCTGTTTTCTGGCCAACACTAGTAACTGACAAGAGAGTCCGATGCTTTTGTGGAGAATAATCGTAAGGATTGCCGTACTCTGCCGCTAGAGTGGGGTCTTTATCATCCTTGAGTCTCGTAGAATTCCGTTGGGGAAATGAGTCTTCTCCTTCAGGGTCTGTGTACTGGATGTCATCAGAATTTTCTCCCTCAAAGCCTGAAAAGGTTACACCAAAAACACGGCTAACGTTTTGTTCCTTTCTCACTAAGTTTTGACCAGAAGAAGAAATAGAACCAGCCACCTCTACCACCCACCTCTTCTCTACGCCAGTTCCACCGCAAAGAGCTACTTCTTACTGAGGCTGGAGGCAGATAATAGTACTAAACACATACTATGACAATACCATTGCTGCTCATTGTGGGAACACTCCTTTCTGTTGGGAAACCTATAAAACTTGTTTGTCCAGAGACAGTAGTGAGAGAAGAACAAAAAACCCCAGCATGGCCTACAATACCCCAAAATAACCCTGGCCAGCAACACCACCGTCAGTCTTTCAACAGAATCATTATCCAGCTTAATTCTCTCTTCCTATCTACATGTTAGAAGACCAAACCACAAGAATCATGACTGGGACGTCCAACATTTTTAAACAATGAAATGCTGCAAATCCACCCCCGATCAGCAGTAAAAGAACAAAAAACCCCAGCATGGCCTACAATACCCAAAAATAACCCTGGCCAGCAACACCACCGTCAGTCTTTCAACAGAATAATTATCCAGCTTAATCCAGCTTAATTCTCTCTTCCTACCTACATGTTAGAAGAACTACAAGAATCATGACTGGGACTTCTAACATTTTTAAACAATGAAATGCTGCAAATCCACCCCCGATCAGCAGTAATCTAAATCATCTCCCTCAAGTTTCTGTTCACTCTTTGGGGGAAATAATACAGGAAGACGTGTTTCCTTCTTCAAATGTTAAACCACTTAGTTTGACTTTACCAATCTGAGGCTATCGTTCTTTGTCAACCATAAAACATAAGAGGAGGAAGATGAGAGAATGCTTGTGTGTGTGCCATGAAGTTCCTTACCTGCCTGTTCTGTCATTTCCTCATACTCTAGATTTACCCCCTCTGGTCTGTCAATTTTCATATACTTCGAGAATCCAAATCTGCAAGAGTTAAAAAGAAACATAGGTATTACTTTATTGCTATGTTTAACAGTACTTAATATCACTTTGTTCTGCCTGATATTTATTTTATTTACACCTTTGGGGGCTGCTTCATACAACCAGCACAATCCAGCAGCAAAGGTATTCCTGGAAGGTATCGATTTTTGGGACCTGACCTGGATGGCCTAGACTACCTTACCTCATCAGATCTCAGAATCTAAGCAGAGTTGGCTCTAGCTAGTACTTGCACGGGAGACCACCCAAGAAGTCCAGGGCCTCTATGCAGAGGCAGGCCATAGCAAACCACATCTCTCCATCCGTTGCCTTGAAACCCCTACAGGGTTACCGTAAATTGGCTGCAACTTGACAGCAATTTCCACCACCAGCTGAATCACCACAGCCATGCAGACATAGTTTAATTCCGGGGCAGAGGCGTGCAATTTTTAATTCGGCATTTTTCAGTTCAGGTCTATTGGACCCGGAAAAAAATTGGTATTTCCGAAAAATCCCAGATCCCAATACTGAGATGGTATTCAGATCCGGGATTTTTCAGAAATCTTGAAAGTTTTCGGGTCTAATAGACCCGAGAAGAAAAATGCCAGGTTAAAAAAAACCTCAGTGGCTGATCCTGTGGCTGGCTTGGCTTTTCCTGCAGCCTGGTTTAAACTGTGCCACAGAAGCCAGCTCCAGGACCTGCGTGCTGCAGGGAAAATGTCCCCAAAGAAACACAGATCCTGGCTGGGATGGCTTCTCCTGCAGCTTGGCTTAAACCATGCTGCAAAAGGAGTCAGCTCCAAGAAATGCATGCCTTGGGGAGATTGGTCCCAGAGGTATGCAGATCCGGCCTTGGACGGCTTCTTCTGCAGACGGGCTTAAATCGCACTGCAGAAGGAGCCAGACCCAGGGTCTGCGTGCCTCGGGGAAACTGCTCCCTGAGGCATGCAGATCTTGGCTGGGATGACTTCTCCTGCAACGTGGTTTAAACCATGTTGCAGAAGGAACCAGACACAGGATTTGCAAGCTATGGGGAGATGGTGTCCTGAGGCATGCTTCCCAAATTGTAGCTGGAGATATTCCAAGCCAGCCCCAAGTTGAGCCAGTGGGAACAGTTTGCTCCCACTGGCACAGCTAATCCTGATTCTCAGGCTGCCTTTTGCAGTCCCTTTAAACTTTGAAGGGACTGCAGTAGAAGCCCGACAAACAGCTGAGAGACGGGAGCAATCTGCTCCCAACCCTCCTCTGTTTTCAGATCTACTGGTAATCCCCAAATATATCTGGGATTGTTCCAGGATTTTCTTTCAGTTTTCCCAAGAAAACCTGGATACATTTGGGATGCTGAAACATAACAAAAAATACTGATGTGGTGTTTTTTGGGTATATTTTCAGTTCAGGTATGCACACCCCTGCTTCCCAAATGCACACCCCTGTTCAGGAGCCCTGACCTGGATGACCCGGGCTAACTTGATCTTGTCAGATCTCAGACGCTAAGAAAGGTCAGTCCTGGTTAGTACTTGGATCTCTGTGCAGCGGCAGGCAATAGCCAACCACCTCTGAATGTCTCTTGTCGTGAAACCCCCATGAGGGATTGCCATAAATCAGCTGTGACTTGATACCACTTTACATTCACACACATCATTTTTAGGCTACTGGTGGTGAGTCACACCCTTGAGACCTGCTTCGCAATCCAGATGCCATTTAAATAAGCTCTTATTCTTTCTTCTGAAACAAACTTCCTTTTGTATAATCCTGAGAGAACACTGATAAATTGTTCCTGTATTTTTCTTGCATATGTGATTTGATTTCCTTTCTTTACACCTGATATTACTCCTTTTTCTCTGTCCTTCCTGAGACAATACACTAGATATCTGCCAGGTGTATTTGCATGTTCAAAATATTTTTGCTTTAGGAATTTTAATTTTTTTCTGTATCTCTTCTAACTTCTAACATATTTAATTGGTATTTAATTGTTTAATCTCTGCTGGTATTTTTTATTAACATTGTTTTTATGTTCTTGTTCCAACCTCTGAATTTTGTCTGTTATTATCTTAGTTTGTTCTAATCTGTATCTCTTCTACTTCTAACATATCTAATTGGTTTTTTAATTGTTTATTCTCTGCTAGTGTTTATTATGATTGTTTTAGGTTCTTGTACCAATCTCTGAATTTTTTTTGTTATTATCTTAGTTTGTTCTAATCTTTCTCGCTTTTTAAGCTACTGCTGCTAGTAGAAATCCTCTGATAAAAGCTTTACTTGCTTCCCAAATTGTAGCTGGAGATATTCCTTCTATGTTGTTTATTTTAAAAAGCTCTTTCAATTTTTTACACTTATTTACTACATCTTCTTGTAGTAGAAGAGTATCATTTAATCTCCATCTTCTTCTTGATTCTCTAATTCATGGAAAGACTGCTTCTATGGAATTATGGTCTGCAAATATCTTCGATTGAATCTCTACTTTTTCTAAATTTATTGATAAACTTTTTGATATCCAACTCATATCTATTTTTGAATATGTTTGATGTCTGTCCAAAAAGAAGGTGAAGTCTCTGCCCTTTGGGTGCTTGGGCCTGCAGAAGTCTTCTAATTTCAGCATTCCCATGTGTTGAAATACATTTTTAGGTAATTTCCCACCTTTAATGTTCCTTGATCTGTCTTTTTTGGGGGGCGGGGGGGGTGTTCAAGTACTTATCTCCAAGAATCACTATTTCCTCATCTTGGAAGTCTAACATAGTTTGGGGGGGAAATCTAAAAAATTGAACTTTGGCCTCATTGGGTGCACATATTGTTGCTATCATGCATATTTTGCTATCATGCATATCATTCATATTTCATTTTTTAAATTAGGTATCTTCCATCTGAGTTTCTTAATTCTTCTAATGCTTCTAATTCTGGGTTGTTTATGTAAATGGCTACTCCAAATTTTTTGTTTTGTGCTGAAGCAAGATATACTTTGCTGAATTTTTAATTGTTTAAAATATGTTTGCATTTATTCTTTTGATGAGTTTCTTGTAGGCATAATATATCAGCTTTTTGTTTTTTCAGTTGGTTGAATATTTTTGTACGTTTGGAAGGAGAATTCAGTCCATTGATATTTATTGACGCTATTCTTAATTTATCCATGTTGCCCTGATGTTGTCGCCACATCCAACTTATCCTTTTCTATGCTTGTTTCCTCTTTGGAGTTTTTGGTCTGTGAACTTTGCTTTGGACGGCCAGAAAAATGCTTTGAGTTACTTGGAGATTCTCCTTCTGTTCCTCTATATAAGTCCTCCACTTGCAGTTCTTCAGCCAATTGCTTAGCTTGTTCCTCTGTCACGATTATTCTTCTTCCTTTTGGAAAGAATACCTCTATTGCAAATGGTAACTTCCAATGGTATTTTATTTCTTTTGTAAAAATCTGTCTCAAAAAGTCTTTCCTTTTCTTAAACACACTTGTTGGTAAATCCTGAAAGATCTGCACTTCTTTTCCTGACAAGCTGGTGTCCCGTTCCCCCCCCCCCTTTACATAGGGAGATATTTCATGGAGGACCTCTCAAACGTGCAAAACTTCACCTTCAGTCCCCGAGCCAAAGCAGTCAGGATGCAGAAAGATTCCACGTACAAAGCTTTGAAGCTTTATAAACAGTGCAAAACAAAACAACAACCCCCACCCTTTACCATTTAATTATGTCCATCCATTCTATGAACTGGCAGATAGCCCTGCTGTAGTATACTGCTCCCATTCCTTATACATCCCCACTGCTTCTTTACAACACAAGCTATTTCAAAAATACCATACCACTAATGCCATTATACCTGCTGCAATACAGATGTGACACCTCATTTATCCAGACAGCATGGGAAACATCTAATACATCTGGATAATCAAATATTTGTAAAAATGGGAGTGGGATTTATATTTATACTGGCATGAACTGTACAATATTAACAAATAGGATACAGGCCTCTAGAAGCTTTGTATATACAAGATTCAGTTAACAGGGCCTTTACTGTAACAAATACCAACAGCAGTTGTAAATTTTGTTTGCACAAGAATATGTTTGCACACAGACATCACATACATGGAAGAAAACTGCATGTGCCCTAAAATATGCATATGTCTCTATTTTGCCACAGGTACAAACAGCAGGAACCCGCTGCTAATCTTAGCAAAATAGATGCAGATACATTTTTACAGTATACATGTGGTATACAGGCTGGTTTCTCATATGGACGTTACACCCACATATGAACGAAAGTCTCTTGTATGAAGCTTCTCTTCCTACTTCTTTTCAGCAGCACTAGAGTTATATACACATTAATGTACACATCTTTTACCCAGCAATCCCCTTCTCTTAAAATTCCATTTTAGCTTTCCAGTCACAAAACTGTGCAACTTCTCCAAGAGGGAGGGGTTTTACCTGTCTAGGTAATAGGCATTTTCTTGGTAAAAGCACTTATTTTCTGTTTCCATGTGGCTCAGGCGGCTGTAGTCATTGGGATATATGAAGGACAAATGAACCTGGAAAGAGAAGAAGGGGGTCCCCATCACTAGAACTGAACTTCAGAGAGTTACTCTGCATGATCAGAGATATCCAAAGGTTTTCAGTTAGCTGTAGTTGTCATCTCAACACCCTCTTTTCAGACTTATTTGCACAGCTCAGAGTTGTCAGCTCAACACCCTCTTTTCAGACTTATTTGCAAACTGCATGGATCACTGCATAGAACTTTGAGATCCACTTGGCTTTACACCAGGAATAAGAAGCATGCTGTTTAATTTTGCAGTCACTTATTCCAAGATGAAAGGGAAGAGGCAGGCACTCCTATGCATGGATCACTGCATAGAATGACATCCACTTTGCTTTACACCAGGAATAAGAAGCATGCTGTTTAATTTTGCAGTCACTTATTCCAAGATGAAAGGGAAGAGGCAGGCACTCCTCTTTTCCTTAATTTTAAGTCGTGGGTATAATGCTTTAGGTAAAATAAACAAATGGCAAAATAAAGCGCATTATAGGATTGCAGTTTCAGGGCAAGCAAGCACCCGTGTCACTCAGATGCCCAAAGTACCTCTCTAGGACATCAATTATATTTCTGATGCAACATTAAGATCTGAGATGTCATCTGGTTCTCCACAGAGACTTATCCTCTTATTTTGTGGAAATGTTTTTTCTTTTCAAGTATTTCTACCCCAAAGCTCTCAATTTGCTGGCTCGGACTACAGCTTACAACCATTAAAAATAATACAAAGTAATACTAATACAAAATACTGGTGCAAAATTGAACAGATGTGCAAAAGCTAGATTTGAGTTCAGTAGCAGCTTAGAGACCCACAAGATTTTTGGGGGGGACTCTTTCAAATGGAAGATGATCATCAACCTGTAAGAATGAATGTTAGCTGGCCCGGTGTGGGAGTAACCCTAGCCAGTGCTGAAGCTGGTACAGTCAATCAGCTCTTCACAGCAGAAACTGAGCTGCTGCCTGGTAAGCTCCTAAAACAAAAGGGAATCACCTGAACCCTGTTTATATTCATTGTATTTATTTATAAAATTTGCATGCTGCCTTTCTGCCCAATCAGAGCCATGAAGGCAGCTAACAGTAATAATAGTTGTTTATTACAGTCTTTAGACCAGCATACAGTTAAGTGCAGCTAACAGTTAAAACTAGATATGCCAAACACAATAGGGAACCCTTAACACACAAGTATAGCCACAAATAACACTTAACAAGGGAAGGCCAGCTACAATTTACAACTATATGTGCTCAAAACTGTATATTGCATTCAGATGACACTAGGATTCCATTGAAGGTATTGAACTGGGGTTCCCTTTTAGCAGCTGCTGTTGAAGATCACTGAAATGTCTTGATTTATACCTGGGAGAGGCATCCGGCTGTTATTCTTTCCACAGTGGGAGTCTTCTGCTGCAGTTACTTTCTGTTTGGTGATCTATGGACTCTGTCTATGTAGGGAATTACAGAGGAGCCTACAGTTGGTTTTGAACACATTTTTTTTTGTAAAGTATGCTTAATTGTTATAAGCAATCTGTTGGATAAGAGTCTATACATTCTATCGGGTTATGACCACTAACCCTTCTTTGTATTTCAATGAATGCAATATACAGTTTTGAGCATATATAGTTGTGAATTGTGGATGGTCTTCCCTTGGTGGGTGTTATTTATGGCAATAGTTAAAACTAAACATTATAAAAGCATATCATGAAAACAATTAAAACCAAAGCTAAAATAAACACTTATTAAAAGCTCATAAAACAACATATAGCAGGAAAGAGGAATTATTGAGGGAACGCCAATGAAACAAGTCTTCACCTGCCAGTGGGAGATAGTGACGAAGGGAGACAGATAACTATCTCTAGCAGGCCCTCCCCTGGGTTCTCTAAACTCAGAAGGCGGGGCCATCCAAGGCAGGGCCTCCAAAGATGACCTTAGTGGTTGGGTACGTTTAGAAACAGAACGTAGTGCTTGGGCAGGAAACGAAATGAGAAGCATGCATGCGTTCCTCACACACATTGCACCCAAATGACTACTCCATCCTTCAAAATATGTGTCCATTCACAGCCGGTGTGAGCTGGACGTTCCCAGCTGGAAAATGAGACTTACAAACTGGAGCCCCTGATAGCGCTGCAGAGGGAATCCGTTGACTAGGTAGCTTGGTTTGTAAGGGCAGTCTGGAAGGACCCTGCGCATCTGTGATTTGCTTAGCAGAGGCACTGAGAAGCAAAGACAAAGAGAGACAGTCACGGCACGGGAACAACTCCAGACTGAACAATCCCAAAGAGGAGCCAAAAGCCACTTCCAGGTAGCTTGAACCCCACTTTTGCCCAGTGTGGTTTTGACTATTATAACCTCTTCCCAAAGGAGTTTGCCCCCTTCCATAGGAGTCCCCTCTAGATCCAACTGTGTTGTCCATTACAAGTTAGTCTTCTCTTTGATCTGGTAGAAAGTTTTCAGAAATCCTTTCCATGAGGATGGCTATGAGGACGTAGCTACTCCACAAGGATGTAGCTACTCATGAGCTACATCCAGTCCTCAGGCAATTTTGTCTGCTCCTGTACCCCTACCAACACTGATCATACGGGATAAAAAGCTTGCCCACAATTTCACGTGTGTGTGTGTGTGTGTGTATGAAAAGTGCTATCAAATAACAGCTGATTTATGGCAGCCTCTCACGGGATTTCCAAGGCAAGGGATGGACAAAGGTGGTTTTGCCATTGCCTGCCTCTGTGTAGCAACTCTGAACTTAGGGGGCTCCCACCAGAGTACTGACCATGGCCGACCCTGCTTAGCTCCCAAGATCTGATGAGATCAGGCTAGCCTGGGCCATCCATATCAGGGCAAATTTCATTTGTAAGGGACAGGAAAAAATACCAAGTTGTAAGAGGACAACAGAGTCTTCAATGGGTGTGTTCAGACGGTGTGGCAGAGTGGCATGGACGCAAGTTAACTAAACAAGAGTTTTTCAACTTTAGAATTGGGGGGGGGTTTAACCCCTTTAACTGTATTAGTGTATCATGGATAATTAGTTTCTACCTGGGATTCTCTGTGTGAGGGTGTGCGCGTGCATGTGTGTGTTTGTGAAGGACTGAGGTATGTGTGCAACATGGGGAACAAGCCAGGCTCACGCACTTCCCAGCTTAATGGGGGTTAGAAGTGTTGTCTGAACACAGTCTAATTGTTTACCTTTATAAATGGTGTCCCGAGGGTCCGGTTTCAGCATATCCGCTGGGTGTTCCTGCGCATGCCGACTTTGTGTAATACGGCTTTCATGAGTGGCCAATGACTGAGGGATGTGATCAATCTCACTCATTTTCAAAAGGCTTTCATCTAGGAACACCCCCAAAAAATGAGGGAAAGAATGGAAGAAAATAAGAATATTTACTCAGATAGAGGTATATTTATGTGCGTTTATGCTTAATTCTGGCACGCATGCCCAACAAATAGTAACAGATTTACTCCAACCCTCTTGACACGAAGCACTGACAAGTCTCGGAGTAAGAGTTGTCCCAGGTCATGAACACACTACAAACTTGATCCAGTTTAGCTGCCATGGCTTTCTCGCAAGTAACTCTGGGAATGATAGTTCTGTGAGGGGCTTCAGATTTTTATAGCACACTGTAGGAACCCTTCCCCCCACCCCGGCCTGGTAGGCCCGAGCCTTAGACTTGTATTGTGTCCTCCCTCAGGCCTCAGACAGAGAGAGGAGGTTTCTCGTTGTAGTTGTTTTAAACCATCCTGGTCCTCTTCCTTGGCTCACTTCTAATTTGGGAGCCAGAACTGGTCTGCTCTCCTCCGCCTCCTCTCTCCCTCCCTTTATAGGGCCTCACCAGACCTGATCTAGGGCACGGAGGCTCCTCCCCCCTTGGGAACATGAGGAGAATGGGGCAACTCTTGTGGGAGCTATTTATAAGCCCACCTTTCTTCCAGGTGTCCCGAGATGGGTCACAGATTAAAAACCACACAAATCACAGAAAGATTAAAACATCAAATGATTAAAACAGCCAGCATAAATGTTATGAACAACACCCCTGTCCAGAGAACCAACAAGCTTTTAAAAAAAGAAATGTTATAAATAACATTCACAAAAGACTCCTACCCCAAGAACCCCAAAGCCACTAAAGAGCCTCCAAAAAAGCTCTCTCGAAATCTGCCTCAGGGTTTCTTGGAGGAAGCCGTGGTGAGACAGGTTTGAATCCTGTCTATGTCTGCAGAGTAGACCTTCCCAGCTTGAATCCCATGGATGTCCCTTGTATCCACGTATCAGAGAACAGTCGGACATCAGAGATCCAAAATCTGATCACGTTTATGGATCTGGCAACCTAAGCTGAATTCAAATTCTCTGAACAACAAAAGCCCACTTATCAAGCCTCCTCATTTCCTTGTCTCTCTCTCACATTCAGCTCCTCCCATCAACCCAGAAAACAAAGGAGATATTATATGGAAAATGCAGAAGAAATGCACATTCCTTTCTGAGCCTGGGATAGGCTGCTTTTAGAGAAAATGACAAAGACAAGCTCAGATGGCGAGATTAACACTGTGAGGGAAGCACTCACTAGCAAAAAGGGAGAGGGACGGAGCGTCGATAATCGCAAATGTGGCTTCTGGGTCATTCAGCCTCCACTGAAAAAACAATACAGAGGCAAACGAGGTTGATTAATTAATTTCATCAGCCGGAAAAGAAGACAGGGAGCTGTCTACCCAAAACCCAAGGTAAACGTAGCCCCTAAGAACATAGAACATAAACAGAAACCATGTTAGATCAGGCCAGTGGCCCATCTAGTCCAACACTCGTGTCACACAGTGCCCCAAACCCAGGTGCCATCAGGAGGTCCACCAGCGGGGCCCTACTTAGGCACTGTGGCCTCTCAGGTGTGTGATCCCCATCCAGACTCTGGAACTGCAGCCCCTAAGAACCAGCAAAACGTGAGATCAACAGTGCTGTCCTAAACCCAGCTGCAGCCTTCTGTGTCCATCAGTGTTCCCTCTAAGCTGAGTTAGTGTGAGCTAGCTCACAATTTTTCAGCCTCCAGCTCACACATTTTTGTCTTAGCTCAGGAAGGATGGCTCCAGAAAAAACTAATTGATGCAGGAGCCAAACTGCTCACTCACAACTTTAACGCCAGTAGCTCACAGAGGAGAATTTTTGCTCACAAGACTCCACAGCTTGGAGGGGGCATTG